TGCTATAAGTTTAGCAATATCTTGGTGCACTCTAAGGTTGGAATTAGGGACATATTCCCATAAGAGGCAGAGCCATCTGAGAGAAGAATGGGTGAAGAAGGAGGCGGCTGTGGCTGCTCTGATGGTCCATGTGTCAGACTGATGGGCTCTGCGTAGGGCTAGCTCGGCCCGTTTTACCTCAGGCTTTAATGCCTCCAGCACATCACTGGGAATGGAGGAGGATGCTAATCCCACTATAGGTTCATCTACCTCGGGAGTATTCAATAATTTTGAGAAATCAGGGACCAAATCGAAATATTTCCTGTCATATCCAGTGGGGGCTGGGTACATCGCTGCAGAGGCCCACTGTTTCTGTACCAGGTCTGAAAACATGGGAGGAACTGGGATCAACTCTGCTTCAACTACTGGTTGGTTGAAAATTAGATCTTCTGGTCCCTCTTCCAAAGGAGTTGGAGTGGTAGAAGGGGTCGACTTGTTTAGACATGCAATAGTTTTTGCCTTAAACAAGAGAGAAACAACTCTGAAAAGTTGTGGGCAGATTAAGCCTGTAAAAACATGTTGGTCAGGAACAAGGCCCTCATCCTCAGACATTCCCCTTTCTAAGGGGTCTGCTTCTGACAGGGGCTTGCTGTCATGTATTGATCCTGATTCAATCTCTTCCATTTGATCAATTTGATCCACTTCTTCCTCCTCCTCCTCCTCAGTCGGCCCTTGGAGGGGGACTTCCCCTTATAAATGTACCTGAGTATAGTGCTGCTCTGACCTGGTCAACAACCTTAGCGATTGGGAATCATAATCGGCAATCACAGGATGTTCCCTGGTCATAACTGCGTGTTGAAGACCTGCTGCAATTCCCTGGCGGATTGTCAGCTTCATCCAGGACTTTTTATCCTCTCTGGAACTTCCTCTGGAAGAATGTCGTCCTGACGAAGACTGGCAGCCTTCGGAGTGAATGTAGCTTCAGGAGCCCTTCATGTGGTCGGTGTCCCAGGTACTTGGGCCTGTTGGCCTTGCGGAGCCAAGCTATGCCTGGATGAGAGGGAGAGATCTAGGGGAGGAGGAGTGTGGGAAGAGGTAGACGGACCTGGACTGGAGGAGGGAAAGTCCTGTGAGACCTTGTGTGCCTCACATGTGCACTTATCTATCTGTTTTTGTAGAGCTTTATGGCACCTGATGGCATCCCTTTCTGAAGTTTTAGAATTCCCTTTAGCCTGCTTAGGTTTGTGCTGAGATTTGGCTTTGACCTTCAAGGATGAGGTCTGAGAGCTGCTACCATCTGCCATTTGGATTGAAGTTGGAATTGCAGTATGCTTGTTATACAATGCAATACTGTGAAGGCGGTTGGCACGCCCAGGGGCCTGATCTGAGGACAGACCGGTTGCCCTGATGATGTTTTTATCTTTTTGTTTTTGAATAATACCTATCTATAATGAGTTGTATCTCAGTAATAATATTTTATTGATATTAAAATATTATACCAAAGAGAAAATTATTATTATTGTATTATTATGTAACCACTTATATATATATGGCAATATGTATATGAATATTAATTAAAATATTCAGGTAATAATAATAATAATAATAATAATAATAATAATAACCACACACACACACATATATATAGCAATATGTATATGAATATTAATTAAGTGGCATGATGTTAAGTGCTGAGAAACCAAACAGCCAAATTGAGAACGCCTAAAGGCCCAGATTGATAAGGGTAGAGGCCTTCAACAGCTTCCTTGCACAGGTGGGCACAGGCCTAGGTGCTCGCTGTTGTGCCGCTGGGTTGATTGGGCTATGAGGGTTAAGCCAGCAATTTAACTGTAAGAATAGCCTCGAATGTAGAAAAAAACCAAGACGAGGGTATAATGGTCCCCAGTGTCCCTGAAGGGAACCTCTGCTTGGGACAGAGTTACCCCACAGAACACAAAATGGAAAACAGGCACGCAGCCACGAGGTCTTGTAAGAAAAGATGGCCTCTGGCCGTTAATCTTTTGGCACGCTTCCCAGCAGCAAACTCCCGCCGTGTGAAGGAATAGCCTCCGATGGCTTTTCCTATAAGGCTAAATGGCGGGGAAGGGTGGAAGGCACTAAGCGTTTGAATCCTCCACCCCAAGTGGCATTCAGAGGGGGAAGGAAAGCGATACGACTCCGTTGTGAGCAAAGAGCTCACGCTGCTGTTCGGGTAAAAGAAACTCTGCGGCAATCTGTCGGAATGGCAGGGGTAGAAAGATCGGTTGTGGGGAGGGGGCGTGGAGCAGCGCCGAAGCCTCCCACTGCTTTGGGGCGCGAATTGGCGCTTCCCTGTAATGTGAGCAATCTCTATAATGCGAGCCAACATCGAGAGATCGCAATGCGATTAGAAGGCTAAAGGATTCTAAAGACAAGCTGATTAACTTTCAAACCTGCTAGCAAGGAAAGAATTTTTCCTGTTTCGGCCAAGGAAGAATCACAAGCACTGCCTATCTCTCATGAGGCTGAGCCAAAAACTGGGGAACGCTGGGGAGGAGTACCGTGGAGGAGGAGGAGCATTCCACAAATTAAGCCCAGCCTAGACATGCAGACTGAAGCACCACCCACTACTGGATGCTCTGAACAGCTCATGGGAGAACCGGTTTAGTCTCTGCTGCTCATCACCGGTACCGGCTTGGCAGAACCAGGCCAAACTGATAGAATACCACCACTGACTAAAGGGGATTAAAGTTTCCAGAAAGAAAATAAAAAAAATATGTAAACATCTTTGCTATTTGGTTACCATGGGGATTTACAAAATGGCACAAAACACTATCATACTATAAAATTCAGGCAATTTTCAAATGATGGGTCCATTATTATCTACAATAGCAGAAATGTCAACAGTAATGTCTGCTTCTATGGAGAGATTATATCCAGAAGATGTTAAATCTGATGCAGAAATACTGTATAATATATTATAAATATTGGAAGGCTACAATGATTAGAATGATTGTGTAATTATAAAAATAGCTTGAAATGTTGTGAAATATAAAGCAAAATTTTGTTGCCTCAAATTTTAGGCTTCCTTATTAACATTTTAAAAGGTGATATTACTACTTTTAACATTGTAGTCCAAGGCTCTTCTCTATAAGAAAACATGTTTTGGTATGCCAAAATCAGCAACAAATAGAGTATTCCGAAAGTCCTTGAGTACACTTGCAACTTTCAAGAAAGATACTAACCTAGCTGGGAAAAAGTAATATAACCCCTAAATTTATCCCTTGGTGCTATTTAGAAGCAATGTTTTCTATTATTCAAACTTCACATGCAATTTTTAAAAAATCATTTACTTGCTGACGTATCACATATACTGAAAGTTATATATCATTTGTTTCTGTACTATATAAAAAGACTTGAACCCTCCCTCCCCCTACTAAGGCTTTTTGTTTTGTCTGAATCACTTGGTGATTCTTATTTTCAGGGGTCCGAAGAAACCCCTTTGCAAAGGTAAAGGTGTTTTATCTCCCAAATTCAGGGAATTGATCTTCAGCTCCATGCACACTTAAGATGCCTGAATTTTGAGGCAGCACTAGGACTAAATTTATGGACTTGCATATTGATATGGGATGGGTTATAGAAGAGATATTTCACCCTTATGTAGGGTGAAGTTATCAAATTTGTTTTTACTTTTTGTGATTAATATTGGAAGTAATATTGGAATATATAATCTTTTTTATTTTCTTCTTTACACTTTTTATTTTTATTTTTTAAAAAACTGATCTGCTTTGTGACTTTACTAGGAGAAAATGCTGGTGGCATCCCATTTTCGTAAGGAAGACTGAGGCTAATTAGAATATATTACTCATTGTAGACCAGCTTTTCCTCAGAAGCTAGACTTTCACCTTGTTGAAACTGATTAAAATTCCACCTAGAATTACTTTGTGTGAGATGGGTGAATATAAAAATTTGACAAACACATAAATAAAATGGAGTTCTCTTGCAGGACATTTAGGAATTGATGCCACAAATGCATATATTGAGTAATGAGTAGCTTTTTCTCTTGTACAATTTTTTTTGTTCCAATATTCCTTTATAAAATTGAAACTCCTTTCCTTTGTAACTTCTATGGTTTCAGTGATGCAAGCCACCAGAGTGTCAGATTTGGCAGCATACAACTGAAATAAAAATTCTTTATTGGGGGCATTGAAATTTTCTGCTTTATGCATGACAAATAAACAGAAGACAAAATTTTAATTAATGTTGTGAACAAGAAACTTGCCTCACTATAATCAACCTGAAATATAAGATAATCTAATTTAGATAAATTTAATAACAGATTATCTAATCATTTAGATAAATTACATGTAGAGGAGTTAAACATTTATTACTACCTTTATCTATATTTCTTGACATTACTAACTGGAATGGAAGGTGAGCATAATCAGGTATCAGTCATGTATTTATAATAAGTCTACAATATACAAGTATAAAAACGAGTATATTAGACAAATCGTTATTAGCTTCAATATTCTGAGTAAATATTGAAAAGGAAGTATCTTTTTCAAAATGTAATTTCCATATAAACTTTTTTTTCTTCCTCTAAATTTTGAGTCTTTCTTTAACCTAAGTTTTGGAAGATTATTTTTTTTACCTTTGGGAAGAGAATTTGTATGCTTGTCAAATTCTACCATTTTAGTTGAGAAAGATCCAACTGTATCCCTCCCGCCTCTTTTTTCCCCTCATGGAATTATTTTTTCCGAAAAGCTGAACAATAATTGTACGTTATGTGTTTTTAGCTGATTTAATACAGGCACGGCCTTAATGTGGATGTTTTGGTCAATGCAGGTGCTTTCGCTTTCCTTCATGCACAATCTTGCTCTCCTACTAGCGCCTCAACTCGTAAAGCTTGCTCGGAAGGAGTCTAGGGAAATGCAGAGCGCGACGTCAGATAACGGCCAAACGAGCTCAATCTTTCAAATAAACCTCGTTATCTTCGTTGCGCTATCAACCCCGCCCAAGGGAGAAGAGAGCGCTCTAAGAGAAAGCGCGCGCTTTCAAGCGGGCTGGCTTATTGGCTGACGCTTTTGGCCATGGGCGTATCGGCGTGGCTTTTGTCTCCTTTGGATTTCGGCTCAGTACGTAACCGCTTGTTTCATGCGCGGCTGCTTAAAGCAGAATGTGATAGGTTCGTTCCGGGCGTCAATTAAAGGATTCACTCCGCCTCAAAGTTTTTAAAACGCGCCTCGTCGCTCGGACGGTAAAGTTGATTGGCTTTGGGATCTATCATTCAGTGGTAACGTAAGAAGGCCATGGCGGACGGTTGTTGGCTCAGTCGGTACTCCAGGAAAGGAGGTGTGTCTCGCACTGCCACGGAAGGCGGGCCCTTTGGCGTTTCCTTTGTGTGGGCACCAGTGGCTGGCTGCGAGCGCGCCTGAGGAGGAGTAGAAGTCGTAGACGCCATTTTGTACGTTTCCTTTCCCCACCCCCTTTCCCCGTTCTCTGCCGGTGGATCTGGGCCGACCTGTCCCACCACGAACATTGCCTCGTAGCGCCTGTCGATTTTTGTCCGGCGGCAGCTGCCCCCTACCGGCGGCGGCAGCAGCAGCGAGGAGGAGGTGTGTGACGGCCGCGTCTCCGGCATGGAAAACTCCCAGCTTTGTAAGCTGTTCATTGGCGGCCTGAATGTGCAGACGACGGAAGCTGGGCTGCGAGAATACTTCGAGGCCTACGGGACCCTAACCGACTGTGTGGTTGTGCTCAACCCACAAACCAAGCGCTCCCGATGCTTCGGATTTGTCACATACTCGGCTGTGGAAGAAGCCGATGCCGCCATGGCTGCCTCCCCGCACGCTGTCGACGGCAACGTGGTGGAGCTGAAAAGGGCAGTTTCCCGCGAGGATTCCGCCCGGCCCGGCGCTCACGCGAAAGTGAAGAAACTCTTCGTCGGCGGCCTCAAGGGGGACTTGGGGGAGAACGACCTAGTGGAACACTTCAGTCAGTTCGGCCCCGTGGAAAAGGCCGAGATAATCTCCAACAAGCAGAGCGGCAAGAAGCGGGGCTTCGGCTTCGTCTACTTTCAGAACCACGACGCCGCTGACAAGGCGGCCGTGGTCAAATTCCACCCCATTCAGGGCCATCGGGTGGAGGTCAAGAAGGCCGTGCCGAGAGAAGACATCCAAGCAGGAGGCGGCGGCTCTTCCAGGTCGAGTTGGGGCGGACGGGGAAGAGGAAGGGGCGGAGGTGCCGGCAACCGGGACCATAATGGGCTCTCCAAAGGAGGAGGCGGCTACAACAGTTACGGAGGCTATGGAGGAGGAGGAGGCGGCGGAGGAGGAGGAGGAGGCGGCGGCTATGGTTCGTACGGCGGCGGCTCTTACGGCGGAGGTGGCAGCGGCGGCGACTATGGCAACGGGTACGGCGGCTTCGGCAGCTACAGCCAACACCAGTCGTCCTACGGCCCTATGAAGAGCGGCGGTGCAGGTGGAGGCGGTGGCGGCAGCTGGGGCCCCCGCAGTAACAGTGGACCATACAGAGGCGGTTATGGCGGGGGAGGTTATGGAGGCGGCTCTTTCTAAGCGGGAATTCCCACCGATCCTTCTGGGGGACATTACTTTTGTCTGCATGGAGTATGTTCTCCGTTTGTACCGGGCCGGGCCGGGCTTTCAATACTTCCCCTACACTTCGCCTAAAGGCACCTTCATACAAAAAGGTTCCAGTAATGCGAAGCAGATCTCGAATGTTCCTGGTGGGGTCGCTCTGCTGCCTGTGTCACTTTCTTGAAGATGTACTGGGTCTTTTCACACAACGATTTTGTGTTAGTCATTGATGGACTCTATTTTTTTATTGCTTGGACATTAGTCGTTTTTTATACTAGGAACAAGATATTGTTTTAATTTTGGTTTATTGGGTTGGGAGGGAAAGTCATGATTCTGAAGTAAAACTTGGGAGGGAAAGGGAATTAACTTTGTAAGGACTTGGAATATCTACACATTTTTTTCTACAATGATTCCATCGCTGTAAAAGGGGTTAAATCGTTTTTACATTTTTATTTTTTAAATAAATCATTGTGTTCTTTGACCTTTACATGTCTTTTTTCCTAGGGTTCATTCCGTACATTTCAAACAAAAGTTTAAGCCAGTAAAACTTAATGATGCTTAAGTGGCTACATGAGTTTTAAAATACTGCTTTATTTCAAGTAAAGAGCCCAACTCTTGCTGCCTCACTACATTGGTTTTCTTACTGCTAAAGAGTTTGTGCCAGTTTTTGAAATATGTTGGTGGATGAAGTTGGTTAAAATACCTTATTCTACATCCACAGTTTTGCAGTTGGGCATTTGCCTTGCAAACACAGTTGGTCTGTTTTTTTATATAGGGAAAATGTTCTAACATTTAAAGCATGTGCTTTTTTATATATACATGTTCAAAATGTCAGATTTCGTAGTTTCACATTGTGTTATTTATTGGCTTGTCTGTAACAATCCATTTTTAAAGGGGAAAATGCTTTCCCTTATAAATATTTTGTTTGCATATTGAAGTCATTTCAATTGGATACTATCTTAATTGTTCTTATTAAAAAAGCCAAGTATTAAATAGAGTGCCATCTACTGGCAGGCTAGTTGACTTGTGTAAGTTTTATTAAAATAAATTGGCTCTCAGGATTGTAGACCATTAGATGGCCGGAGTTAAATTAACATGCCAATAAAATAGATTGGCTAAAATACAAAAAAGTAAAATTATTGATTGACCAATTTAAGTATTCAATTTTTAAAATTTGTGCTCAGCGAACAATAAATGAGCCAGTAACTTAGGCCAATTGTAAATCAAAATTTCTGTAGTCTGCTTGATGTATTTGTAGCCCTTTCACATAGTAGAATTAACGTTTGTTGTTCTATTAACAATGTTCTAGACAGAAACTGACTTCCTGAATAGAAATATAGAATAGTTATGAATATTGCAAATAAAGAATTGAATTCTTCACATGCTTCAGTGAGTATGTATGAAATGACTAAAATATTGATTTTATATTAGGATTTCAACCAAAGTATTTTACTTGAGCTGCTTTATATTTCAACATTTGCTAAATCAAAATTTTACATAGAACTGAGGTGTTAAAGACAAAATAGGTTATATTTTAAAAGTTTATTTGACCCAGTAGATTTCATTAAATAAAGTTCGATAATTTTTAATAGGTGATAGTCATGATTGAAGATAGGAGCTAGCTACTGAACGTCCTGATGTGTCTTTGAATACACATTTTTAGTATCATTTACTCTGAAAGGTCAGTGATATTAAATTGAAATAACAATAAGTTGGCTTACTTTGATGCCCTACACTTCTATGTGTACACCTGTAAATTTGATTTCTACAGCAAATATTGGTTCAGTGTGATATGGAAATTGATTAAATTATCTGCAGCTTTGTTCTACATAAGCCTTAGCAAAGTTCTAATTCAGTTAGAACTACACATACTTTATCCATCAATACATTCAATTTTCTAGATTTAACAAAATATAAAAAAAATTAAAAGTTACGCTGTACAAAAAATCTTGGGTTGAAACAGTTTGAAGCAAATTAGAACTGGAGTAGGTGGCCTAACCATGTTGAATAAAAACTATTCTGGTTATTTCATTAAATTTTAGTGCCTTTATCTTTTGAGGGAAGATAAGGTACTACTGAAGTCAGATCTCTGGGACCCTTGCCTAGAACAAAAACTGGCTTTTAAAAATTATTTGCCTTGTAGCTATAATTTGTATAATAACCTTCTGACTTTTCAGGCCCTTAAAATGCTTTATTCTAGGCTTGATATAAAGGTAGGCTGATTATGCTAAAATTAAGTGTAAAAAAATCCAGTGAAAAATGCCATTGTCTTTTTTAAATGTGTGGTTGGTTGCATCATTTTCTTTATCTTCAGCATTAGAGTTTACATTTTTTTACACCTGGGGTATGTTTGTCTAAAAGAACAGGACTATACACAGCTCTCAATAATGTATATGGATACTCCCCCCATAAGGGGTAAATTAAGCTGTATTAACAGATTTGGTGAAGATAATGCAGTGATGTTAGAAATTGTTATATGCAGACCTTTGCAAGCTACTTTTTTGGACAGTAAAATTTAAATGCTTATAATACTTTTCTGTTTTCCAAAAGTACATCATGGTGATAAAACACTGTTCGTTATAATAGTAAAAACAGTTGTATATTGCCTGTAATGCTGTCTCCTCATATTATGACCTTTCAAATCTTCTGTGAGAGAATAATCTCATATAATGAACTACAAACTTTTAATAGTGATTCTTAAATAACAGGTGCTATACACCCACACAGAGGTTGATTACCAGCAGGAAATACTTTTTGAGTCCTGAATGTATAAAATCTTACCTATATATTTGAAAGTATGTACATGATTCAATCATACTGTTCATTACTGTTTGGTTAGGTCAGAATATCTGGTTTTGTCTAGTTTTCATATGACAGAGGCAGAATTTGCCAATTTTTATACATTATAACTCGCTCTTGAGTATTACAAAAATTAACAGTAAAGTTTTAACAAAACAAATTTAAATTCCACTATTTGAAATTTCAATTATGTATTTTATTGCATATATTCTAATTATATAAACCTACCTTCTTTTGTATTGGATGCAAGAAGCTGACTACCCTAACATTTTGTACTTTATGAAAGAATGAGTTAGCATAGAACATTGAAGACCAACATTTGGCATTAATAATGACAAGTCTAAGAACTGTAGGTAACCTGAAACTCTTTAGTATGTGAACAGTATCATAGAATCCAGTGACAATTCACATTTTTTTTACAAGTGTTTCAAGATAAGCTGTGTTAGGCTGTTCATGTATGGCAGTGTGCGTTGAAATGAGGGCTGTGTCTTCATAGATCATAAATTTGAACTGTTGTTCTTTTGGAAAATAATACTGGTGATATTGAAATAAATTTCGCCAATCAACCTTAATAATTCTATTTTTAGGCCTGTGACTGTTAATGTCTACCTGGTGAATTAGGAACAGCATTATGTTTTATTATGTTTGCTTTCTCTGTATTTTATTTTAAAGCTATGTTGAGAGAATATGCACATTTTTCACAATTTTGTACTCTAGATGATGTGGACTTAAGCTCCAGTGATTTCCCAGAGCCAAAGTCCAACATATCTGAAGGCAAAAGATTAGGTGAGTCTGGACTGCAAGCATAATTAAACTATAAAGATACCAGATTGAAATGCTTTATATGTCTAAATTATATGAGTTTATAATCTCTGACCATAATGTTTCTGCAGTTTTGGACATTTGTCAGTATTAGCAGACTGGTCAGGCATAGAACTACTGTTTCCTTCTAGATTGAAACCCAAAATTTGTAATCTGCATATCAGTATGTATGAGGGAGGGAGGGAGGGAGAGGGAGAGCATTTAAGTTTCCTACCCAATGAGTTATGCAGAAAAAGTTTTTTATTAACAGTACATTGTGACACATTTCATACAAGATGATGTAATTTCAACATCCTGTCATGGCATCCTGAAAGAAAGGTACAGTTTAAGTTCAGAATTTACATGAAAAATTCTATTTAAAACTTACCTATGCATTATCTGATGTAAAGTTGTATCTTTGAACTATTAAGTGTGATTAGCTTTTAGTATTTTTAGACATTTTAATTTCAGATTTAACAATCTGATGGCCTCAGAGCATTCACAAGATTGGCAAGTTTAATTGCTCAAAATCCTTTGGGTGCTTGTATGTGTTAAAGTGTTGAATTAAATGCTGCTTCTCAGAGGCTTGGTGAACTAGTATGTTTATTCATATAGTTGCATTCTAAAATTCAGGCACTTTTTGGTTACATTGTATGTTTCAATGAATCCCTAAATGAAAAGTGACACAGCTTCTAAATAGTACAAATAACAAATTTCTGTAAAAGTGAAGACATAATATAAATGAAGAAAATTGAAGCTAAAAACGTTCAGTAATAAATTATTTGAAGTATATATGGAAATAACCATGAAATGTAAGAAAGGTTTTCAAATAGCCCTTGGATATTAAATTCAGAGTGGGCAGATCTCATGCTCTTAATATTTCTAAGGAAAAGTGCTACTGCAAGGAAGAGTGAAAAATTCCAAAAGCCATTGCAGAGAGGCTTAAATGCAGTGACATCTGTGTGTAAGAGTGTTTAACAAAAGTCAAGATGATTATACCGGTCATAGGGCCATCAAAGCCCAGTATAAAATGCTGTATGTGTTGTGGTAAAGCATTAAGGTATGATTTCATTTGTGTTGTGACTGACCTGGGTTTTTATTTGTTTTATATTCTCCCCTCCATCCTCAGACACTGCATCTTAACTGGCTATCAAAGACATTTTTATTAGATTTTTATTCTGCTTTTTAAAAACTTTATAAGGAACTCAAGGCAGTGAGTATACCTAATACTCCTTTCTCCTATTTTCTCATAACAACCCTGAGAGGTTGATTGGTCAGACAAAGTGACTGGCCCAAAGTCACCCCAGTTGGCTTTTATGCCTAAAGTGGGATTAGAACTTTGTCTCCTGGTTTCTTGAAGCTGTTATTTCTGCCAAAGGAAGGTGTTAGAGCCTATTGTCTGAAAGGATGTCTAAGCCTTTGCACCTTACATACTATTGAATGTGAAAAATTCATCTAAACAAAGTATCAATACCTTCCAATTTGCAGAATGATTTGTTTTACTCTACTTCATAGAGCGGGGTGACAAACTGGCAGCCTGCGGACTGGACGCATCACGTGCAGGCCAGGCTTCCTCTCCCACTCCGTGAATGGGAAAAACATAACGAAACCTAAATGTGACAGCAATGTGATGCCGCAAGTTTTGATGCCCATGTCATAGAAGTATCAGCTTGTATTCAGTTAAAAATCACTGAAACATAATTTTGTGCCTAAACTTGTCTGCAACTATATATGGAATAATTTAAAATTATTTGGTTTATTGTCAAAGTGATTTATATGGAATCAGCTTGCAGGTAATTAGCACTTTAAAAGGAAGCAATATGGACAATCTGAGGTTCATGTAAAGGAATTCATTGAAATTGTTTTACTAAAAATGTAAATGTATTATAAAACTTACTAGACTGTATAAAAGCAACTCATTACACAGGATGGTTATTGACTGTCAAGTCTTCATTTTATACTAAACACTGTTTGTAAAACAATTATTTTTAGTGTTACATAATTTAACCATATCCTAATGCTAGAAGTTAATATAACCAGACAATATTTATTTATAACCTGACTTTATTTTTATAAGCATCTCAAGGCAGTGAACATATCCAACACATCTTCCTCCTCCTTCCTCCAACATCCCTATGAGGTGGTTTGGGCTGAGAGAGAGTGACTGGCCCAAGGTCACCCAACTGACTTCCATAACTAAGGCAGAACTAGAACTCAGCCTCCTGCTTTCCTGTTTGCTTCCTTAATCATTAGACTAAACTGGCTGAATATGAGGACAATTTCAGTAAATCTTGATTTCAGTTGTCTATCAGTAGTAATGATGTATTTTAAAAATTCAATATTACACAGGAAAATGAGTAAATCAATATGACCTATAGTCTGTTCTGCATTATAGATTTTATTATATGCTTGTATGGACTAAACTCCACTGGCAGCTCAGTATTTCTATATCTGTAATCTGACTATTGGGCAGATGCTAAACAAACAGCTTAAAGATGCTTCTGCAGGAAGTAGCAGAATATTATGGTAATGTCTGACAATTTTCAAAAGATCAAATCTTACCTCATTAGGGAAAAAACTATGCTTTAATTTACATTTTTAATTTAATTTAAAAATGTAAAATTCTTAGGATTCTAAGATAGCTTTATTTTATCCAAATCTTCCCATTGGAACCAGTATGGTAAAAGTAGGGCATATGTGTACTGAGTTTTTATTTTTCAAAGATTTGGGCTATTGATAATTCTGTTGTTGAGTTTTGCTATAATGCACCCTTCTGCCCATGCCAAAAATGTTAATGAAGATTTAAAAAGACTGAATGCATAGGGCTGGTCAGGATCATATACTGAATAAAATTGAATGAATATTCTGTGAACCTATACCAGGGCAATAATTTTATACTGGTAGATATATATGTGACCTGTTTGTGGGTAGCGTCTTGTGATTGTGGCAAACAGCTACAAGAAAGTTGGTGAGATTGCTCCCTGCCACCCCACATTCCCTTTGTTTTCGGGGCAGTTGAGTACGCAAAGCATTGGGTTATGCTCATCTGTTGTTATTTTTAAAGGGTATCTGTAGGGTACATGTGGTACTCAGTGGCATAATAGCAAATGAAGATGCCAGAGGGCCAATGTTTGGTTGCAGTATGTCACCTTTCCTTAGGAAAAGAATATAGTGGAGCCTCAGGTTGTGACCATAATCCGTTCCGGACCCTGGTTGTGACCCAATTTGGTCATGTGGAAGCATGACCGACTGTGCATGTGCGCTGTCAAAAAATTGGCGCAGAAGGGGAAATCAGCATGGAAAGAGAATCTTTCTGCGCTGATTTTGTTCGCACCCGATTTTTGAATCATGACCTGATTATTTTGTTTTGATTTGGTTGCGAACAGGAGCATTCGTGAGCTAAGGTTCAACTGTAATAGGATAGAAACCTAGCAAGTACTAAGGTTCATATTTATTTCTGTACTCAGTTATATATAAGTACTGATTTTGGTTAATTCACTTGCTATCTTGCCAGAATGACATGATCCACATACATGTAATTGTTAGAAGTCTAGAAAGCAGAAGATTGCAGAAATACAAAATACAGTAAATTTGCCTGGGAGACAAGGTATAAAAACTAGTAAGTAAGCAGCCCCAGATGGTATGTATGGACTGCCATTTGTTGGAGAGAGCAACAGAAGACATTTGGCATGTAAAGTCACATGTACAGATAGTCCTTAACAGACTGCAACGAGGACTGGCCACTTCATTGGTAGACCATGCAGTTGTAAAATGGAACATCATTTGACCAAGCCTGACTTAGATTATCACCTTCAGGTCTCATTAATCGAATCTGGGTGTTAAATGCAGTGTCACATGACCACAACTTGTGACTTCCTGTCCACTTCTACGTTGATTTTACCTGTTGGAAACAAGCTGACAATTGCATGATTGGGATGCTGCTATCGTAAATCTGCACTGGTTGTCAAATGCCTGAATCACTCATGTGGCTGCAGGAAACACTGCAACATTTTCAGTTTTAAGGAGCCATCATAACTCATTCTTTTTCAGCACCACTGTAACTCAGGGCTGTCAAATTGATGGGCTGGATGTGTCACCTGCTGCCTATGCCCATGCCCAGTTTAGCGAGGGGAAAAAGTTGCTATATGTTCCCACGATGACACAAGTTTGACACTCCTGCTGTAACTGAATGGTCACTGAATTAATGAGTAGTTGGTAAGCAAAGACTACCTCTAATAATTATGGGATAAGGGTAGAAACTGGGAGATGGAGTCTTCTGGTCCTGCCTTAGACACAACCAACCTGTGATTCAGGGCCATTCTTGGCTCCTGGAATAAGTTAATAGCAATACACATTTGAAAATTACCAAGGAAACTTCAGGGACTAATCTAGAAAATTACAAGGAGTCAAAACTGACTTTAAAAAACCAGACAAATGGTTTATTTGGTTTATCTGGTTTATCTAGTTTATTTGGCTGGCTGCAAACTCTCGAGTCTAAAAATACGTGCCCCATTATGTCTTTTCCAATTCCAATAGTGCATTGATGAAAGTGACATGTTAATATAAATAAGGTCAATATTTTGGTCCTGCATCCATATTTGAGCTGGTAACTAGTAACTTCTAGTTTTATGACTGTTCAGCTAATACACTAATATATAATAACTGCATGAGATCGGATTATAAATAATTATAATTTACATTGTTCTAATCCAGAAAAATTAGGTGTTTTATTTTTTAAAAAAACCTGGGTTCAGTGTGACAAGTAAATATCAGATGTAAGAATTGTAACAACACTAAAACTATGGTTTCCACCTCTACATTTGAAGCTGGCAATCTCTGCATTGAATATGAAAAGCGTATACCAACTAACAGTCTTGTTTATCATTTGTATTTGTATGATCAAAGATTCAGTAAATATTTAAGCTATTTTTCAGTCTCCATTCTATTGCTTTAAACCAGCCTGCAATATAGCAAAATGTCTATATAATTTCAGTTGAACATGTGTCATTTAATCCCTGCTATGTCATGTCACTTGGAGAATAAAGGTATTAATAGCCTCTAAAACCCATTTTGATTCTATGTCTTGGTGGGGATGTGGTTTAATTGAACTTAAGTTGCAACTTATCTATTTTCTTTACTGCTCTGACCCTGACAATCTATCTGAAATGTAAATTATGTGTATAGAAGAGCACAGAGAATGAAATGGTACTTTAGAACTGAAATAAGAGAATATGTTTTTTAAAGGAAGTCCCCTCCCTCCAATCCGTGCTCCGTATACAAGCTGTATACAATGCTGACACTTAACTGGAATGCCTTTATCTTGGTTGCCAAAAATGATTCACCTGCTTTTACTTAAGCTAAAAACTGGCCCTTAGTAAGAGGGCAAATGGATGTGAGAAGCTAATATTACACTCACAGTAGAGCACATTTCGTCCTAACAACCCTGCCGCCTTTTAAGGCTAGGTTTGTTTCAAAGAATGCTGGAATTGCTTCCCTCTTTTTAACGCATCTTTTAAACATGGGTTAAATATATTTCCCTAGCCTGGAGTTTTGGAATAGGCGAGAACGAAATCCAAATAAGTCCGATGTAAGGAGCGCGCGTTCCGAAACACGCCTCCCCTTCCCTAAGCCATAAACCACGGGACCAAGACCAAAAAAATCGCTCCTTTCTCTTTCCGCCCTTGCTGCATTTGCTTCGTTCCCTTTGTCGCTCTTTTTAAAACCGAGCAGAACCCCGCCAAAAAGATGCCTCGGGCAAATGCAGCAGCCGGGGTGGTGCAATGTACCTATCCGCACAGCTGGTGTTGCCAGGAGACCGAGTCGCATGCTCGGAGCGGGAGAAAGGAAGGCAGAAGGGAGTGGGCTGCCGAGGCTGGAGGCAGAGTAGCAGCGGCGGCGGCAGCAGCGGGGACCTCTGGGAAGGGAGTGTTCTGGCTGCTGTAAAGTTAACCTGCCGCTGTTGCTTTAGGCGTGAGAGGAAACGGCGCAGGGGCGAGAAGGAAGGCGGCCAGCTGAGCGCAGCCAGATCGAGGGGGCGCCGAGCGGTTCGCTGCGGCAGCACTGGAGAAGCGAGCGGGCAGGAGGCGAGGGCGCATGCAGCAGGGCTCCGGCTCCGCTCCGGCGGCGCACAATGGACGACGAAAGGTTGGTGTGATGCGCTCGGCGAAGAGGGCAGGCTCCTTTTTTTTTTTTTTTTTTGCTTGCGTCGGGCGCGGTAGGGGTGGGCGCGTGGGCGCGGAAGCCTGGCGGAAGATGTCGCCGGCCGGATTCGGTAGCATCCTCCGAAAGTTGGCTGCGGTCACCTCCAAGCGACGCCGTTTATTTGCGTCTCCTGCTGGATCGCGGGCCCCGGAGGTTGATCCACCGCCGCCGCCCCGAGTTGGGAGAAGCTCCCTCTGACGAATCTTCCCCTTTTCTTAGTGGCGTTTCCTCCGGGTGACTTTTTTATTTTTCATTTATTTTTTTTAAACCCAGGGTTCATTCACCGCGAATCTCTTTCATCAGTTTTACCACGCGCACACAAACACACACGCACGCAAGCACACACAAACACACTTCCTGTCTCCGGTGGCCCTTCTTTGAAAGTGTCTCCCTCTCTCCTTCCGTTCCTCCGCCGAGCCTTCGACGCGCACTTTCTAGGGTCTCCTTCGAAAAGCGGTCGGTCATTTTGGGCAAGCCGGTTCCTTTTCGGCGGGGCAAACTTCGTGCTCCGGGTTTTAATACGCTCGTCGGAAAGATGGTGAGGTGAGGAGTGTGTGTGCGTGCGTGCATGGGTGT